CTTTTGGAGATATAGAATAATCGAACTTCTAAAGATATATGTATACAGCCTGTGTTGTAGAATGTGCTAAATTTCGGACAGCTATACGCATTTGCAAGTGTTTGTACTAATGAAAGCTTTTTCGGCGCAATCACGAATTTAATCATTTGTTTTCTAGAACATTTCCAGGAAGTTACTTTATTTCGGACTTACTTAGCTCCAGCGCCTAGGATTCCCACTGGTCATCAGCAAAACGCTACTGACAACTTATTTCGCTTTTTCACGCAGCCACGTCACTGCGAGTGTATGTTGCTTGCCTTGCTGACAAACAATATTCTTCGTGTTGGTGAGTGGTAACCGCGAGAAATTAAAAGCTACTTTCAAAATACTGGCGCTCAAAAGTCGAATGAAAGAGGTAGACAATAAATGAGGATGTATAACCCATGAAGGAAGGCCCTGGTACAACTGCGTGTAGGAGCATCCCAACAAAATCGCTCGATCGTCCGGCTTAGATACAGGAGCGAAAGATAGCCGAACTATTTGGTAATGGTTCCGCGGCGTCGGATATCAAGGATAATCTTGGTATTTCTGGCACTGGAAGCCACGAAGTTGTATTACGCAAGAAAAGTGGTAGTAGTCCTTGTCTTGTTGCTTGAAAAAACACGACATACGCACGGCGCACATTTCTTTAGCGGCAGTTTAAAGCGCTGCGCTAGCGATGAAAGCACAGCTTTCCGGATATCTTCCTGCAGCACGAAGATCGTGACCACAATCACAAAGGGGTTCAAGTTGCAGCTGACCGTCATATAAGCGGCCAGAAGCTCTTTCGGCAGAATTCTATCGTCGCTAATGTGGTTAATGAAGTGTGCCGATGCTGGAATCACGTACAGGACTGTTGTAAGCACACATGAAACGCACATGGTACCAGTTAGGTGCAGTTGTCGACGTCCAAATGCTGCAACCGCTGTCTGAATCTGCAAAAGTTCTACAAGTATTATGTGTATTGATTCGTCAATAATCATCTCTCAGCCGCCTGACTGATTTCTCTTTGTGAATTAGCGTTCGTGACTTTGCCATGCTTCGAAGCTGACTTTAAATTTTTAAAGTCGCACATAGGCGCAGAATATCCTCACGGAAGTCATTTTCAGCCAAAAATTTGCATGTTTTCATCTCGGCATCCGTACGTAAGACCAGGTATAGGTGAGCGATGATTTCAAAACGGGCGACTCGCATCTGCGAGGTCGAAAGATGTTAGCTTTTTAGATTTTGTGTCCCTCGATTTGAATACGTGTAACAGTGTTCTCTCACATGCACACACAAACAAACACATACACACATATACGCACACACAAACAGACGTGCACACAAAACAAACACATACATACGTACACAAACGCACCGACTGCTCCCCCTAACAATACAAGTTTTTTGCTCACTGTTACATCAAAAACTCATAATGAATTAACTAACAGAATGAGCTTCAATAGCCTTTCGCAATCGCTGTGGCTTAATAAATACAATGACGTAAAGCAAAACGCTTGCTGTCGATGCACAGATTTCAATGCCCAGTGACACATTTGGAAAAACAGACGTCATGCTCTGCAAAGTCCTGTAAGAAATTAACTTCATAAAAAGGCACTTCCGACAGCTTTTTTTTTAAACTGATGGAAACTGAAGTCACGATCTTAAATCAGACTTTTCGTCAGATGAGCGACATGCGAACGCTCATTGTTTCATGCTGGGAAGTAAAATCTGATGCGCAGAGCATGTTGCTCCCGTTGCTTTTATTCAGTAGATATTAAACATTAGCGAATGGAATCGGCAAAGTAAGTAAACGACGACTGGGGAGATCTCCGAAGAAATACCTTGCTCGGAGCAAAAAAAAAAACTTCAGTAACATGATTAGCATCGGATCACTCCCCGACTGCCTGGGTATTTTCCACACGCTGATATTTTACCACGGTCTAGAGGAGGAAAAGTTCGTTCAAGATGTTGTTGCTCAATACGGAAGAAGAAATCACGAAACAGTTAAAGCAGTGGCAAATGGTTCTGTTGTAGAATTGTGTGTTTTGACAACGAGCGTTTTTGACCGATGTTGTAAGGCTGCAGTGCTGCGCAGTAAAAACATGTAAAAGTGAATTCTGGAAATGACAGACAAACCAGCATAATGGGGATGTTGTGGACTTGTCATCATGCCACGTGAAAATCCAACCTGTACATGCGTATATTAAAATTGCGCCAGTACAAACTGAAATCTAAAAATTACATAATTCAAAATTGGTTTCGAAACGCAGAAATGACCTATTTCCAGTTCCTCTACAGGATGTTGGCACTCTCGAGTAAATCAGAGAGCTTCCTTTAGCTTCAAAGTGTCTACTTCAACTTCACTAAAACTGATAATGATTCCTCTGCCAAAATGCATCGTAAAATGAGTGGTTTGATAAAATATTTTTGTTGAAGCCAGCATTCCTCGAACTTCTGAATGGCACCACTAAAATTTTCCTACAATTTATTCACTTGTTTTTTTGATGAATTGATACCAACATATGCTAGGGAGTCAAACCCATCATCAGTTTGCTTCTGCGTGAGAAAAAACGTGAGGTGAAGGTAGCTTTAAACTAAGTAGCGCTGCTCACTAGGAGAATGATGCCATTCCATTTCTGTGTTTTGTTGTAATGGATGGGTGTATGAGTACCAACATATGCTAGGGAGTTAAAATATTATTTTTAAAGCCAGGATAACTCCGATTTTTATGCGCTTTTACCGTGCAGCGTTAGGGCGCTGCAACAGGCAGCAAAAACGCATATTGGAACGGCCCTGTCAGTGTGTGTGTATGTTTGTGTGTGTGTGTGTTCGTCTGTCCGGGTATTTCAACTCGCTA